CGTAAGTAGAGAGAAAGTGAGACAGAAAGGTGGGCGGAGGGACAGGAAGAGAGTGGGCGGAGGAGGTAGATAGCAAGCTGGATAAACAGGATGAGAGAAAGACTGAACGAAGAGAGGAGAGAGAAATTGGATAATCAGGATGGAAGAAAGAGCGAATGAAGAGAGGAGAGAGAAACTGAGTAAAGAGGATGGAAGAAAGAGCGAATGAAGAGAGAAGAGAGAAATTGAGTAAACAGGATGGGAGAGAAGATGGATAAAATAGGGAAGAAGAGGTTGAGTTAAAAGGCTAGGAGAGAAGAAAGGAAGTGGGAAAAAGAGTAAGAAAGATGGGAAAGGAAGAGAAAGAGAGAGGAAGAGAAAATGGAGAAAGGGAAGGTGAATAAGAAAGAAAATGAGAGAAAAGAGGGATAAAAGAAAAAGAGAAAATCTAATCTCTTTGATAAATAGAAAGAAAGATAGTATGGAATAGACAGTCACATTAATTTATCTATCTATCATCTTCCTCCCCCCCCCCCCAAGGTCTGGCTGCTGTTGGAAGGGGAAAGATGATGATTATGGTGGATGGGAGAGAGAGGAGAGGAAGGAGGTAGGGAGGGAATAGGAAAGGAAAGAGAAATAGAGAGGAGACAGAGTGAACGGAAATGCTAGAAAGAATGTGAGAACACACACACGCACACACATACGCACATACATACACACACGCACACACACACACAAACCGCACGCATACACATACACACACACACATTCACACACACACAAACACACTGACACACGCACACACAATCACACACACACACATATATAGACAGATAGATATAGACAGATAGATAAATAGAAAGACAGATAGACATCAAAATAAACAAAGACAGATATACAACGCAGGAGGGGCAGAATCGATAATAGGAAAGGCATAGGAGGAGGGAATAGAAACAGAGTGATAATAAAAAAGAATACTGGAAATGAGATGAAAAAATAATAGATACTGAGGAAGTAGAAAGGAGAAGAATGGAAATATAAACATAAATAAATAAACAGGTAGGCAAAGAATAGCAGAATAAGAGGAAAATAACATTAGACAGGAAGGCAGAGAATAGAGATAAGAAAATAAAAGATAAATAGAGAACAATGAAAAGGGAAAATAGGAATAAAGCAAAGAAAGGAAAAAAAAGATGAAGAGAAGAAGGTAGAAAACGGAAAGAAATAAAACGGAACAAGACAAGAAATAAAGAAACAGAGAAATGAAAAGAAAAGGATGAAGTGTAGAGATAGTGGGAAAATGAGAATAAAAAAGGAAGAGCATCGAGTGGAATGAAATAACAAGAGTAGAAGAGAAGAGATGAGAGAGAGAAAAGAACTTCCAGAAAGAGAAACGAATAAGAGAAGAAAAAGAAGAAGAAGGAGATGAAAGGAAGAAGAAGGAAAAAGAATAAAAAAGGAATCAACTCCCATCTTTTCATTAATCTTACACCTCCTTCCTCCCCCCTCTCACCCCCCCCTCTCTCTCTCTCTCTCTCTCTCTCTCTCTCTCTCTCTCTCTCTCTCTCTCTCTCTCTCTCTCTCTCTCTTACCCCTATTCCACCCTTCCTTATCCTCTCTTCCCCTCCCCCTTCCTCCTCCCCCTCCCCCTCCCCTCACCCCTACCCTTCTCCCCTCCCCCCCTCACCCCCCCCTCCCTCTCTCCTTCCCAAAAATGTAAGAAAAAAAAAAGTTAAAAACATATATATAAATAAATAAATAAATAAAAGAAAGTTAAAAAAAAAATTATAGATATATAAATAAATAAATAAATAAAAAGAAACGAGAGAGAAAAAAAAAGAAAATCGAGGATGTGCTTCCCCATCCAATCTCTGTGGTTGTCTATCTTGGTTTTTGAGTCTGTCTCGACCCGTGACGGACGGAGGCTTTGGCCAGATGTGACACGTGGGGGGGGGGGGGGGGGAAGGAGGAGGAGGAGGAGGAGGAGGGGGGGAGGAATGGGGATGGGGGGGGAAGGAGGGGGGTAGGAGTAAGGGAGGGGAGGGGTTTATGGGGGATGGGGGGGAGGGGTTTATGGGAGATGGGGGGGGAGGGGTTTATGGGGGAGGGGGGGAGGAGTAAGGGAGGGGAGGGGTAAATGGGAGGTGTGGGGGAATGAGAGGGGGTGTATTTGTGGGTGTGTGGGGAATGAGAGGGGGTGTATTTTGTGGGGGGGGATGTAGTGGGGGAAATGTGTGAGTGGGGTAAGGATGCAGGTTGGGGGGTGGGGGAGGGAGAGGGGGTGTTAGTGAAGGGAGGGATGTGAGTGAGGATGGGGGTGTATTTCTGTGGGGGGGGGGAAGTGTGGGTAATGGGGAATGAGCGGGAATACGTGGGGAGGGGGGAGTGGTGGGGGGGTATGAGAGGGGGGAGTGTGAGTGGGGGTTCAAAGCCGCCAGTATAGGGGGGTGAGGGGGTATGCCCTAGAGGGGGAGGAGGGGAAAGTATTCTAGGGCAGGGACGTAAACTTTCTTTATTTCGC